ATACATAAATTGATTATATATAAGTTATATAAACTAACATAAACAAGGGAGGCTGAGATCAGTGCTAGATAGAGATCCTCCATTTCTAAAAGCTAAAAAGAAAACAAAAAAAAACCCCACCCACCATGAAAGGGAATATAGCAGAACACATATGGGATGAGGATTATTTGCCCACATCACTTGTTTCTTCATGTATGCTCAGTGTCAAAGGACGGGCAGATGAGCCCTGCCAGATGCAGGCAGGGTTTGTTCCCTGCTCTGTGTGCCCACCCCCCTCTGCACAGCATCTCCTGAGGGAGGGAAACACTTTTGTGAACAGGCTGGGAGGCAAAGGCTGGCTGCCAAGTTTACTTTTCATTGAATAAGTGCTCTCTTGGATCAGCTGCCTACAGGAAAACTAAAGAAACTGTTCAGAGGATTTTGCTGAAACTGTCCTGTAACTCTGCGTTGGGAAGAAAACAGCAAAAAAAAAAAAAAAAAAAAAGGCAGGAGAGGAAAAGCAGCGAGCTAAGGGCGCTGGAGATCCCACCTGCCAAACGCTGGCGGAGCTCAGGGCTTGTCCGTCTGTCTGGCTGCTGAGCCCCAGGATCACATGCATCCCCGTCCTGCCCCTCCCTGCGCAGCGCTCCGTCCCGCCGCGCTCCTCGCAACTTCGGCGAAACTCGCCCGAAGCAGAGGAGACACGTTCCGCAGGCTCCTTCAGCCCTCTGGCTCTCTCGGGAAAGGAGGGGGTTTTCGCCAGCTGCCAAGGCTCACAGTTTTTTCCCTGTTTCCAAATAAAGTTCTGGGACTTGCAGAGGAGATTTTTTTTTTTTTTTTTTTTTTGCAAAAGGAAAGGATAATGATTGCCCTTAGCAAGAAGAGCTCGTGTTCTTCTCAACTCTGCTTCGCTTTCTACGCCCTTGGGCTGGCATTGCTGGGGGACGTGTCCCGGGCTGTACCCATGGACGATCAGGATTATTACCTGCAGGAAATTAGCAACAGGGATCATTATTATTCTTTTCCATATCCCGGTGAAGAGTTTTTTCCTTTCACGGAACAACCCAGAGAGGAAGGACCTATCCATGCTGCAGAGAGAGAGGAGCACCCAGGGTTCAAACCCAGCAGGAAAGAGTTAAAACCGAAGAAAAACAACAAAAAAGGAAAATCCATTATTGAAACTCCACCAGGTAACTTTCCACCTCCTCCTCCTCCTCCAGAGCTTGGAGTCTGCTGAATCTCATGCTGACTGTGACTTGTAGCATTAATGAATATCCAGTTAATGGCAGTCTTGGTAATAATAACAATAAAGGTGCTCGTGGTGAGGATGATGACAACATGTTAATTTTTAAGATCCCACGAAACAGACCTACAGAACTTTTATAGACTTTTTAACCCTTTCCTCATCAAGTAAAGGGATTTCAGAGGGGTAATGTATCAATTATGCTGCAGTCTAGCTGGTATATGAGCTTTTCCTTCTTAGTTACAGTTGACAACTGGCTTGCTGTTAAAGCTGCTGCTCTGTAAGCAAAAGAAAAGAGACAGATTCTGGAGTAAAAGCTGATTGTGTACAGTGACACCTTACTTTATCCCTTGTCATTTTAATCTAAGAGAGGTTCCTGAATTAATTTTACCTATAAACCTGTGAATTTCCTTGAGATTTCACTTTAAAACCCTCCAGAGGAAGATAAGTAAACAAAGATCTTCCCATAAAAGACTAAGCTGTAACAAGCTCAATTTAATTACTGACCTGTAAAATAAAGAAATTAAACAGCAACAAAAATGCCTCATAAGAAAAAAGGCCACCCTTAATTCCATTTTCTATTTTCTGCATTTGTTTAGATGAAAATATGCAATTACTAAAGTTTGCAGAAACTTGCTCAGGTTTATATAATCCAGCTGCTCCCATTAAGAGTTAATTGCACCACCCTGAAAGAAGAGTAATTTCTTTCTGTGTTTCCCAAATGTACAGTAGGTACTTTACTGGTTTTGGACACTCAGGAGGGAGTTCAGACCATGAAAGTTGTAAAATTTGGGGCCAAATCCCACTCCCCTGCAGCAGAACTCCCCTTTACTTCAAAAGGAAACTTTTAGTGTTAACAGCTGGAGGATATGGCACAGAGTTTGCCATTTAGGGCCGTTAATACATGCAGTACAGCGAAACAGAGAAATGAGGGTTGTGGAGGGGATTTAACTTCTCCCAGTCACATCTAGCAGACAGTAAATTAAATATTTGCAGTTTAACGTTAACACTAGCAGAAATTAATTAGCCTTTGATTAGCAAAGATGCAAACTTTTAGAATAATAAATAGTGAGAAGAAAATACAATTTCTGAAGTTTGGAAAGCCATTTGTGGGGCAGGCAGTTTGGATTGGCAGTGCAACTCAAGCCACAAGCCAAGGATGACAGCAAACATACCTTGTCCAGGGGAGCAGAGACACGAGACATTTGTGCCCAGGGGTCCCTCAGGGGCCACCAGCTCCCCAAGCAGACGATACCGCCTGAGCTGTCTCAAGGACTGGCTTATTAAGTTTATTATCTAACTGTGAGCAACACATGGATGTTAAAGCTACCTAATGAGGTACCAGGCTTTTTCTTCTCCAGTGTGATGGAGACAATACAGGGTGGGGTGCTCTGCAGCTCAGCTCTGCTTTCACCTTCCCGGGTGGCCTTTTCCCAATTTCCCCAGCACCATGGCTTCACATATACTCCACCATACATGACAGTGATGGGGATAGCATCCAATCTGTGAGGGCAATGGTCATTTATCTCTACAGACAGGCATCTTCCTTGTTCCCCATGTGCTGCACCAAGCACCTTACAGGGACAGAGAAGGCAGGAGCTGTACCAAAAACTACCTCCATCACTGTGGAACCCTCAGCCCTTCCAAACCTGGCTTGGTTTATGCATAGTAAACACAGTAGTACAAAATTCAAACTGTATTACACTGCTGACCTACTAGGGGAGCATATTGAGGTCTTACAAGAAGCCTGAATGTGGTAATTTCCTTAGGGCGTTTAATTTTACAAATGGAATCACATTCATTTTTCTATACAGGAAATTATGGAAATAGAAAAGAAATAGAATAGGAAAAAAAACACTTCCTCAAACCTTCCCCAGAAACCAGTCCATTGTGTGCCAACCAATTGATATGTGCAGGATTAATCTTCCAATTGACTGTTTTTTAATTTCAGCTCTACCTGACTCTCTGAGTCCAGGGAGTCATTTTATTTCTGCGTTCAGTTGAATGAGGTCCTTCCCCAGCCTCCTGCTCTTCCTTGGCATGGCCAACCCCAAGGTCAAGGGGAACACGGTAGAGGTCTGGGATGCACCCCAAAAGCAACTGGAAACGGCTCGAACCCTCCTTGTGCTCTTTTGACACAGCTGAGCTGCCAAGATCTATGTGCAATAAGAGTTTTTAAAGACTATGAGCTTTTAGAAAAAATAGCCAGAGGTACAACAAGCCACTGATCCCCTCCACCAAACTTTTGCTCCAGCACGTTGACACCAACCCAACAAACCGGCTGTTAGACGGACTTTACCCTGGGAAAACGTCGTTGTATTTCCTCAGGAGCAGCTGAACTATTTTAACTGAATAATCAGCCCACAGGCAAACACCCAGCAAAGGGGACAGTTACCATTTGTTAAAGATGGAAGTGAAAACAGGAGGTTTTTAGCAGGACGTGTCAGGCAATTTTAACCGCAGACAGTGTGAAAAGTTCTGCCTATCATATCTGAAATTTCGCCTTTCTCCTCTCCCAAAGGCAGGCAAGGGCCAGGTCCTGCCGGTGCACTGACTCCAACACTTAGTGCCGTGTCACCATGTCACCAAGGGTTGGTTTGAAACTAAGATCTGGAAATCTGGCCCCTAAATAATAATCCATACCTATAATTTGGCATGTTAAGAGGAGAGCTAGAAATAATAAAAAGCAGTAGCCAAGGAGATATCCACAAATAATATATAAATTATATATTATTTTGTTATTTTTATTACTATTATATTTATACATTATCTGTGTAAATATGTGTTGTGTATATATGTATACATTTATGTGTTTATACATATATCCAGAACCAGAATTAGTATATTGAATGTACAGTAAATACAAAAATTTGGGTTTTGTGAGGCTCACTGGAAGCCGGGGCATGCGGGATTAATTAGTTGTAACAAACAATAGTCTGACTGGGAGCTGGGAAGAGGAAAGCGGAGGAATGGGAACGTGTGATCTGCCCTTTGGCTGAGCAGCTGGTACTGATCAGCCCCAGCTTTGAATCAAAGTTGAAATCAAACAGAGCAGTCTGAAGGACACAACGCAGACCAGATGACATGGACTCGTTTTATTTAAGCTAATTACTGAAGGTGGATAGATATTTTCAATCTGTGAATTATTTATGTAAGAAGAAATCCTACTGATGCCAGTGGATTTGCAGTGTGGTGTTTGTTTTGGTTTTTGGTGGTTTTTTTTAAATTTTTAATATTATTAGAATCAATATTTGCAAATACTCAGTTCAGATAACAGTTAAAAATATCCGCCTGCCTCTCTGCCTTTTAGATAACTCCTAAATGAAGCGTCACTAGGTCATCCTTGGAAGTTGGATTGACATGTCACTGTATATAATATTTCCATCTTTTAATTCCATCCTTGTTTGTTTAGGCTTCCATGAAAAGCCCCTTCAAATCAGGGGATAGTCTCGTTAACACATGTTTTCCTTCTTCCATCCTTGTTTGTTTAGGCTTCCACGCAAAGCCCCTTCAAATCAGTGGAAAGAGTCTTGTTAACACAAATGTTTTCCTTTTGTGAGGCCTTAAATAAAGTTTAATATCTGCTGTCTCAGCTACCATCGGTGGGGCAGAGCCCTACAGATGCTTTGGGGGTCTGTCTGCACACAGGCAAAAATTCCCCACTGAGACATTTATGGGGCTGAGGTCCCCACAAACACTGCTTGGTGTTGTACATCACTCTGGGTCACCACCATTTATTTGCCCCATATTTATTTATTTTTGTGTAATGTTGCCACCTGTTCAACGGCGTAATTCTTAAGGGTTTTGGTTGTTGGGTTTTTTTAATTTATGCAGTGTATAGGAATCTCTTGGATCGGTCAGGATCTCCCTGGACCAGGTGTCTGAGGAGGAGTCAGTATGGGAAGGCAAAAAGAGGAGAAAATGGCCAAGGCAAGCGGACATGGAACTTATTTTGCAGAAAATTTGAGTGTATAAAAAGAGACTGATAGTATGTTAATTGAGATGTTTATCAAGATATGAGATAATTAAGGCTTGGAGAGAGATCAGTGAGTGAATGAGGAGGAAAAACGGGATCACAGAGATGTTATTCAGGAAAAACTGTGAAGATTTTGGTGCAAAATGTGACGAAGACCTGGAGATGTTTATCAAGATATGAGATAATTAAGGCTTGGAGAGAGATCAGTGAGTGAATGAGGAGGAAAAGCGGGATCACAGAGATGTTATTTAGGAAAAAACTGTGAAGATTTTGGTGCAAAATGGTGATGAAGACCTGAAGAGGGTGTGAAGTTAAAAATATGCCAAGTTTATGGCATTATTGGTATTTGAATGGTGAATTTGTTCACTAGGAAGAAAGTATGAGTAAGGCGCTGAACTGATAGCTGAAAGCACCTAAGAAGAGGTCACCAATTTACACCAGGTTTCCAGCTAGAACGGAAGGAAACATAGAAGGAGAAAGCAGCCTGTGAATCAGCATTGCTTGCCAAAATTGTGGGTTTGGATGGGGTTAGCTAGAGCAAAGATGAAAAGGGGGCAGGCTGAAAGCAGAGAGCCAGGCTGAAGGTGTACCTAGAGAGCTAGGAGGAAGCCTAGGAGAAAAGAGAGTTGTCAGAGTCAGAGCTTTCCGAAGATGTTTGAAGTCCGGAGCGTTGAACTTTGCTGGCACGTTGAAGATGGGGTAATGTCTCAGAGCTCTGGCTGGGAACAACTCATTAGAAAGACTGGCAAGGTGCCTTTGAGCGGAATGCAAAGGGCCAGGGCCAGATGGGGCGGGCGGCTGGCGTGGGGCTGGCAGGGAGCGGAGCCGGCAGCGGCTTCTGGCAGGGAGCTGGGCGAGAGGTGTGAAGGGAAATGGGGCAGAGCTGGAAATGGAAAAGAGATTCAGGGGCAACAGGAAACAGGCTTTTGGGTTAGGGAACTGAATCAGAGGGTAAATTAAGGTTGGGGATG